GGCTCCTTTTTTCCCCCACTAAGTTTGAACCTCAAAAGACATTAGGTCAGTGTGGAACTGGAAACTCCTCAAAGTGCAAGTAGTTTCTAATCTAAGAGGAAAAACATGTTCTCTCTTAAATATACTTTGCATGCTTTCTTTTTATGAATAACAAACCAAGAAAGGCATTATTTACAAGGAAGAGGTCTCTGTTAAAATAAGCTGTCTTTGCTGTGAGGGAAAGAAAGCTTGGCAGTTCTGAGTTCTCAGAGTAAAGGTCATAAAGCAATTTATCCAAGTGCTCCGTAAACAAACAAACAGCCACGCGGCTTATGCATCCATCTGAGCTCAGCTACAAGTTCACTAGAAATGGAAAATGGGGACAAGAACTCTGGCCAAAATCACCTCCATGACTACCCTTCCATTTAATAGCGGTATCCACAAAATAAAGTGCAACAACAGCAAAAAAAAAAAAAAAAAAAAAAAAAAGATGAGAATGTCTGGGAAGATGGGCCAGTGGCGCTCATGCGTAAAAGCCCGTTCTGATCCCCCGGGATTAGAGGTGAGCAGACCTTGCATCTCACTGGCCAGCCATTCTAGAAGAATCCATGAGCTCTAGATTCAGTGAGAGACTGTCTGAAAAAGTCAGATAAAAGTTAGATGGAGAACATTCAAGAAAGACAGTTGGCATGGACCTCTGGCTTCCACGTGGGTATATACACAAGTACGCGCGCGCGCACACACACACACACACACACACACACACACACACACACACACACACACACACGACATACACCACATACATGACAATCTCACAAAGGATGAGCTCTTAAGCCTTCTCCAGTTCTAAGATGAAAGATGCAGAGAGAAGTAGAATCCATGCCTCCCTCTGAGCCTTCAGGATGAAGGCATCCGCCAGTTCAAAGCCATCTGACTTTCACTCCCTCTGTCCTTAGCTGTTCTCCTGATTTTTCAAAGAACAAAAAAACCTCAGACACTGTGATTATCTTTCATCACCATACAAGGTACATTAAAATACAAGAGAACCTTCTACGACTCCATTTTATTTTAAACACAAGAGCAGGGGTTGGGGGGAAACCAAACCATAGAAGGGACCCAAGGACAGGGAGTGAGAGAGCAGCTCTCGGAACGCCGGGCTGCAATCTCTGCAATCAGCCAGGGACACCACCCACTGCATCCGGGTGGGCACCGCCGCCCAGTATGCTAACGCTGATTGAGCTGGATGAATAGCAAATCTGCCATATTGTCACTGGGCAGCCAGTGGGCAGAATACCCCCACATTCGGGACACGCTGTGGGGTGGCTGCCTTCCGTGCAGACACAACACAGACAGCAGGCAACTGTCACTGAAGAACAGAGGAGTCCCCTCTGACTCTGCCCAGGGATGCATTATCCACACAGTTTTAACAAATGCCACCTGCCGAGCCAGGGAGCACAAGAGGGTTGCCCTGCCTTCTTTGGTGATCAGTCGGCGCCGTCTGCTGCCCGCATCCATCTCACCGCTGGGGGCTGGGACGAACAGGGCACGTCCAGGCTGCTCCCAGGGTGCTGGGGGAAAACTCAGTAAACTAATGAACGCACAGGTGCAGGCACCACCCGGTCAGTCACGCCATAGGATGAACAGAACACTGATATTCCAGAAACCGCAGGTGCCCAGGAAAGCCAGAAAATCCGCGGCTCTGTATAGCACTGCTCGGGCTTCAGGCCTTGCATTATTCTTCCCGTGTGACCCGGGGCAGATTCCTTCACCTGTCAGTGCCTCAGATGGCCTCATCTGTGAAATTATGGTTCCGTATGAACCTACCCAACCGAGGTATTCTCATGATCAAATAAAAAAAAAAAAAAAAGATCCTCATGAACAATTTGGAATCATGCCCGGCAAACAGTAAGCACTAAATAAGTGTAGGATATTTTTTTTATCAACTATTTTTGCCATGCTTGGCCGGGAAGAAAGATACTAACTTATAAGAGTCCAGACAAATATTACGGATAAGCATAACTTTCATCCGTGGCTAAAGTGCCAACTAACCTTCACAGGTATGGAAATGAATTAACACAAACAGTCTGCCGAGTAAAATATGAAAGCCACAAAATGCAGTGCACGGCGTGTACTGCGTTTTCTGGGACCGCAGGAGGCACTTTCCACAGACATGCGCACATACACATGCCGCCGCCACCACCACCATCGCCACTCTACCCCACGCCCACACCCATGCCCACGCCCACACCCACACACAGAAGTATGGCAAGTGTTCTCTATGAAGGCAAAACTCTATCAGTGATGGCCTGGCATGAGGTCTGGGAGGTCAACAGAACTTGGGTTTCTATCCATAATGTTTTAATTATGAAGCAAAGCAGATTACTGGGCTGCTTAATTACCATCAGAATTTAGGAAATCTTTACAATGTCTACTAGAAATCAAAGGGGAAAAAAAAACGAAAAAGAAAAACTGGGATGGAGGGAAGGCCCAGCAAGCAATAGTATTTGCTTCACAAGCACAAGGGTCTGAGTTCAAGGCTCTAGCACCCAAGCAAAAGGCCCTTGCCGACCTTTCGTGCATCTGTAATCCCAGCGCCGTGGGAAGCATGATGTGTGTGTGGGGGGGGTGCACTGGGGCTTGCTGCCTAACAGCCCAGCTCCAGGTTCAGCATGAGAGACGCTGTCTCAAAGGAATAAGGTGGAGTGTGATCAGGGAGGACACCCAGTTCCTCCTCTTGCCTTCGTGCACACAACCCCCACATACACATGTGCTTATACCAGACGCACAGAGAAAAATGGCCTTTGCTTGCCTTTAGTACCAGCCGGGGGTGACTTTATCTTGGAACTGCTGATGCAGGGAACTACAGTTGCACATGGTCCTTGTCTTTCAAAGTCTCTCCTTTAAACTGTGCAAAAGCCTATGTGCATCAGTGGAACACACGCCTTCAGCCGTGAACTTCGACCTTCTCCTGGGTCAGCTGTAGGAGACGAGATACTTTCACCCGGTGCCGGACAACAGCAAGCTGAGTCTGCGTCATTGGGCAGGCAAACCACAAGATACAGAATGCTGTGTTGCTAAGATGGGGTAATCCCAGAGGTTAGGTATAACAAACAAGTCCAACCTGCATTTTTCAACCATATGGCGTGGTGTGGCATACGGACGTGTCCCGACACAAGTTGAGAAGCGTCTGCAACCGTGCAATTGCACAGTGACTTCTCTGCTGGAGTACAGGTTCTCCTGGCCAAAAGAAGAAAAAAAAAGAAACCTGCCTGCCTTTACCCTCCCCTGGTGTCCCTGTCTCCATCACCCTGTTAATAACAGTGTACACACAGATAGATGTCTGTAAAACAGAATGGGTGGAGTTTTTAAGATTAAAATCTTGGAAGCGATTCGATAAAGGTTCTCCTTTTTTGTTTTTCCTTTCATTGTCTCTTCTTAAAGCCTGAACACATTTGCTAGTTAGGGTTTTAACCGGGTGTTCAAGTTACAGATGTAATACAGAGCAGAGGGCGCTCGATTGCATTGTCTATAATGGGGCCATTTCTCACATACCCCCAACTTCCTCCATTCTAGGTAACCGTCTGTCAGCAGTGCTTCTTTTACTATGACACCCCATCTTATATCACGACCTTGAAGCCACAAAAGCTTTGCTGCCCTGTTCCCCGCCGGAGCCTGAGCCTGTGAGATGATACACCGACGTGCTCCACCAAGTCTTGCAGCCAAAGCAAACACGTCAGCAAAAATCTATCCATCGCTGCTATAGATTTATGTCAGTCCAGCAATTATGCAGCCTGTCATGGGTTCTGGGAACACGCTAAAGTGAAATATGGAAGAGTTCCCCAGAGAGAAGCAGCAAATAATTGAAACTCGTGCTCCCACAGACCCCCTTCCCCAGGATAGTCATAGGGGCTTCAAGAGGCTGCTGCAGGTACCAGGGAGGGATTTCTACAGTGCCAATGGGAGAAGCACAAGGACTACATATCCTCCACGATCCAGGATTCCAATAACTACAAGGTACACGTTAGCTTAAAGCACCGCACTCCCCCTTCTCGCCTCCCTGGTAGAGCAGGGTAGCATGTGAGGCACGGCATGGCTGACACTTGAAACTGCCCAACCCAGTATCCAGAGCAGACAGAGGAAGGGACTTCAGCCAGCGCTTCCTACTCCATGCTTGTCACCCAGGCCTTGGGTACCCACTACTCACAGAGCCCTTACAGACTGGGAATGTGTGCCGTAAAGGAAGCAGTCCTGGGATCCAGAGTCAAGCAAGCCCAGCAGCGGCAGCAGCAGCATTAGAGAGTCAGAGTGTCTACTTAAATTCGAGGGTCCCATTCTACCCCCCTCTCTGCCCAACAGAAGCTCCGGGGTGATCACACGCTGAGCCCCCTTGAGGCGAGGACCCTGTGTGGAGCAGTGAGTAGGCCATGTAGCCAGCTGTTTGAGATCTTACTGAGACCTACTATGTGCCAGGACTGACACGTCAGAGATACAACAGGGAATAAGACAGGCCACTCTGCCGCTTTCCTGATGCTATACAGTCAGTCTACAGGGCAAAGCAGGGAACAGCGGACATTGAATTCCAATTTCAGGTAATTGTACCGAAACAAAGCAAGAGCGCGTGATACGGCATCGCTGAGTTTAGGACCGACTGGGTCAGCCTACTTGGGGCTAAGCTCTTTGAGGAGACGCCTCAAACCAAGGCTTTAGTGATGAGTCCGGTGTGTGAAGCAGAAACGGTATGGCAGTCTGAGTCCGAAGAGGAGAGGTGGCGTGGTCACAAAGGAAAAGAACCCACGCGGCTGCAGCCTTGCTACGCGCCAAAGAGAAAGAGAGGACGTGAAGACCCCAAGACAACATCCCAAGCGCCCTGTGAAGCAAGACAGGGATTTGAGGCACGCAATCCAGGGACCTGTTGCCAAAGGGAGAAAGAGGAGTCTGTTTACCACGCAGACAGACTCAGCACGTCCTTCTCCATGTAACGAGTGACAGAGGAAAGAGCTGACTTCGCGGTAGCCTACCCCAAACACGACGGGGTTCAGCTCTCAGAAGTCACATAGCTGAAGATTCCACGTTTCCAAGGAGGAGGACGGGGAGGCATGTTTAATCAAGACGCCTCTACCCACCCATTGCTGAGAGCAGCGAGCAGCTGGTCCCTCAACGAAACCGGAAAAAAAACTCCTGAGCACTGCAAAAGCTGAGTGGCTGGAATGCCCGGCTTCGCTGCAGCAGCTGTGGATTTCTGCGAAGGCCCGATTCTGCATTTACACAGACGCACGGGCAGGCTTCTGTTCTCCCCAAATGGACCTTTAATTTTGCGTGTTTCCTTCACGTAAAGCCTTTGTGATGTATATTTATGACGCTGTCATCATAAAAGTTACTTAAGGGAACTCTTTTCGTCCTGTGGCTGCACGGCAGGGCCGCACCAGGTCAGAGGCTAAGTGTCTGGGCCCCAGCTCATCCGGGCACCTTAGGAAGAGCTCTTCCACTACAGCCCACGATGAAAATTTCCATTTCTCTCTGGTACCAGACGGCAGACACGAAGGCTCACTAATGTATGGCTTCGTTAAGAGAAAGATGCGTTGGGTTTTTCTTTGGGATGGGTGCTTTCTGCGTCTCAATGTTTTCTCGTTCCCACGGGAGCTCAAGAGAATCAGGACCTCCCCAGCTGTGGACCGGATCTGTTCCTGCTCTGACAGCCTCTGTCACCTCATCCCAGATCTCTGTTCTGCCCAACTTCCAGCCGCAAGCAAGTCATTCCAGGCACCGTGATAGGGAGGGCATCTTTCTCCCCAGCTCCTGAAGGGAAGACTCTGGTTGGCCTACAACGAACTACAGCCCATGGGGCCGAGGGAACTCTGTATCCATGGGGAGGTGAGACCCGAGTGGCCAAGCTGGGACTCTAACCAGGATGCTCTATGACAGCATGGGTTCAGATGGTCCCAGCATCAAACACAAGGAGGGGAGGAGACCCAGGGAATCCATATCAGGGAAGTAGGAAACGTGACAAGCAGGTTACTGCTTCAGCCATCTTCTGCCATTGACGTGGGTTAATGAGGCTCCACACTACATCTAATCGCGTCTGATTGTGCAATGCCAAGTCTGCCATCATCCAGCATCATCCGGGGCTTTCTCCCCCGCTCTCCTGGTCCTGCAGTTGTAGGTTATTCATTATCACTTCCGATCCCTCCAGGTGTTATGAAAGCTTTCGATCAGTACTTTCAAACATTTACACGACTAGACCAACGCAGATCCCTTACCTCTAGCTCACACCCTGATCTGAATCCTGATAGCATGGAAACAGTCCCCATCCATAGTGTAAAAGGGAAACTCTGCTGCCTAAACATCTCAAAGACCATCTGTGTTCAGTGTCTCAGGCAGCCTCAGCTCCAGGAGCCACACGGAAGTCAAACCTATTGCTCTGGAGTCCCTGCCTCTGATAGAATACAAAAGAAACTTATAGAAAGGAAAGGGTTGTTTAGTCTTGCATTTCCAGATCATAGTCTGCTAACGACGTTCAGTGAGGTAGGAACTCAGAGGCAGAAATCACGGAGTAACACTGCCTAGCATGCTTATGCAGCTTTCTTACGTAGCCCAGGACCACTGACCTAAAGAATAGTGCCTTCCACAGTGGGCTGGACATCTTACATCAATTATCAACCAAGGCGATGCCACAACACAAGCACACATCAAGCTGACTGAAGCAATCCCTCCGCTGAGGCGTCCTCTCTCAGACGACTCCAGGCTGTGTCACGGTGACAACTAAGGCTAACCAAGACACCTATCTTTCATCTTTTTCTCGACCTTTATTTTCTAATACCAGCCAAGGCTGCTGTTCTCTGCCTCATTCCCAATACCATCTGGCATTACCTTCCGTATTTGGGTGTACGGTTGCTGCCTTCCTAAGCGTCGCAGGAGAATGTAGCATCTCACGTACTTGAGCTATGGTGGGGCCTGGACCGTGCTGAAACATAGCAAGTGCTCAGTGACTGTCTACAGAGTCACCCTTTCCATAATCAACCCTCATAGCATCTGTGACAGCTCATTTTTCTTTTCAATTTGCTTAGGCTAAGAAACACATATAAGTTTAGGAAAGCACGCTTTGTGTGTGTGTGTGTGTGTGTGTGTGTATTGGGAGGGAGGTTGTCTACGTAGAATTTCCAGAGACTGTTATATCACAAGAGCTGTGACCTAATGACTAGACCATTTACTCAATGGATCGTTAACACGATGGCATCACTGGGGAATGACAGAAGGCAGAAAGTGGGGGGCCAAGTTGGAGGATGTGGGTCACTAAGTGAGTGTCTGTGAGGACTGTAACTTCCCATAGCTGCTGCTTGCATGCTCCCTTGCACTTCCTGCCTCCTCTACGCCAAAAAACGGGCCTCTACCACACACTCCATGCTGTTCTGCCCAAGTCCATGCCTGAGCGAAGCAATCACGACTGAATGCCCTAAATCCATGATCCAAAATGACTCATCTCTTTAGGCTGTGTACGCTAGGCACTCCATCACAAAGACACAAGATAACTGGAATAGGATTCTGTTAAACGTAGTATCACACCTGAAAGGGCACCTGTGCTCACTTCCAACTTGTTCCCACCTGTAGTAGGACCTCTGTCTCACCAGGACGTCAGGGTGGCCTTGAGAGTATGAACGTCACGATGCTTTGAGGACCCTCTGTTTCTTCAGCCTTTGAACTCCCTGCACCAGCTCTGACCTTGGGTAACTGGCTTCCTAGCAGAAATGCTCGACAGCACCTCTCCCAAGCTATGTCAATTCCCTGACGTCCTACAGCCTCAATGCACAGGTTACTGAGCATGGAATGGCCATCAAGAAACTGAAGGGACTACCAACACACCACAAGTTTATCGATTGTCTTTCTTGATTTTCCCCTTGGCTGCACGAGGAGTTTCTCCTTGACAGTCTTCTGAGTGCCACTGTGTTTAGAGGACCCTTAGAAAGAGGACCTCAGGTTTTCATTAATTTTCAGTAGCTGGAGAAGCACTTTCAACCCTTTATATTTGCTGGGACAGTTTTGAGGACTTCTTGTTTTCATTTTTCCAACAACCCCCCCTTTAGTCATACCATAGAGAAGTGGCTATACGAAATCTAGGAACCAACAACTACAGAAAACATGTTCTATTTGACTTTCTGAGGTTGGCTTGATTTGTACAATCTGACTACCTCCTATTTCATTTATTTTACTGGAAACAACATGGACTTACATTCTTCCTTATGACAGAAAATTCCATTTTGTGTATATACTAGTTGGCTTTTGTCAGCTTGGCACAAGTCTACACACATCCAGGAAGAAGAAGCCTCAGTTGAGAAAATGTGTCCATCAGATTGGCCTGCAAACAAGTCTGTGGGCATCTCTTTGATGGACTGATGTGAAAGGGCCCAGTCCATAGTGGGCAGTGCCACCCCTGGGCTGGTGGCCTTGGGTTGTATAAGAAACCAGGCTGAGCAAGCCATGGGGGGCAAGCCAGTGGGCAGCATTCTCCAAGGCTCTGCTTCAGTTTTTGCCTCAGGTTCCTGCCCTGGCTTCCCTCCATAATGGACTGTAAGTTGTAAGCTGAATGAAATAAACCCTGTGTGTGTGTGTGTGTGTGTGTGTGTGTGTGTGTGTGTGTGTGTGTGTTGCATGTTCTTCATACAGTCCTCTGCTGATAGGCACGTAGGTTTGTGCCATAGCATAACTGTTTCAGCCACTGCAGAAGTAAATGGTGACATGCAAATGTCTCTATGTTACATTGATGTGGAGTCATATTGAATGTTATACCTGGATCATACAGTGTTTCTATTTTTTTTTTTTGAGAAATGTTCCCGCTGATTTCCATAAGGGCTAGACAAGTTTACAGTCCTATCATCAGTGTACGGCGGTTCACTCTGCCCACATCCTCACCACAATTTATCGCTGTTTGTTTCCTCAGTGACGGCCCTTTTGACTGAGATGAGATGGAACTGCCATGTAGCTTTAATTTTCGTTTCTCTGACAGGTAGTGGAAGTGGACAACCTTGCCATGTGTCTATTGCCCATTTGTATGCCATATCTTGAGGGGCCTACTCATTTCATTATTATTGATCAGGCTATTTGAGTTCCTGTTTAGATTGTTTAGTTCTTGGTATACTCTCTAATTAATTCTCTGTAAGATGTCTGGCTGGCAAAGGCTCCCTACCATTCTGTGGGCTGCCTCCGTACCCAATAATTGTCTCCTCTGCACTCTCTCTCTCTCTCTCTCTCTCTCTCTCTCTCTCTCTCTCTCTCTCTCTCTCTCTCTCTCTCTCTCTCTCTCTCTCTCTCCCTCTCTCTCTCTCTCTCTCTCTCTCTCTCTCTCTCTCTCTCTCTCTCTCTCTCTCTCTCTCTCTCTCTCTCTCTCTCTCTCTCTCTCTCTGTGTGAGTGTGTGTGTGTGTGTATGTCTAATTGAACAATAAGCCGCTTGTCAATTGCTGGCATTGCTTCATAAGCAAGCAGTCAGGAAGTCTTTGCCTATATCTATTATCTTGAAATGTTTTCCCTACTCTTTCTTTTAAATAATTTCAGAGGTCCGGGTCTTACACTGAGATCTCCAATATATTTGGAGTTGATTCTCATGTAGAGTGAGAGATAATTATCTATTTTCACTCTTCTGCATGTGGACACCCAGTTTCTTCTTTTTTTTTAATTTATTATTTTAAGTTTCATTTGACATTCCAACCTCAGGTCTCCCTCCCACCCCTCCTCCTGCCCCTCCTTCGCCTCCCTCCAGTCCCCCTCCCAAGAACTGTCTTCTGGACACTGTGTATTTTTGGCATCTTTGTCAAAAAAACAAAACAAAACAAAAAAACAGGGGGCTATAGTTACATGGGTTTTATCTGTGCCTTCTATCCTTTCCCACTGATCTACATGTCTGTTTCAGTGTCAACAGTCCATGCTGGTTTTGTTGCCATGGCTCTGTAACCAAATATGATACTTTCTGGATTATTCATTTTTACTAAGGATTGCTTTGACTATCTAGGGTCTTTGTAGCTCAAATATGAATTTAAGACTTTTGGTCTCTTTCTTGGAAGAATGTCATTGAAAATCGTGATGGGGATTCCATCGAACCTACAGATTGCTTTTGGCAGTTGTCATTTTCACAATATCAATTCTTCTAATCCATGAACATGGGATGCCCTTTCATCTTTTACTATCTTTAAATTCTTTACTTGGTGTTTTCATTGTAGATGGTCTTTATTTACTTGATTTAGGTTTCCTTTCTTTATCTTTTTTATAATTGCAATTGGGAATGTTTTCCTGATTTTTTTTCCTCAGCATGCTTGTTTATACATATAAATTCTTCTGTTTTTTCACATGTTAATTATTGTATCCTGACACTTTACCAGGAATGTTTATCCAATCTAAGAGTTTCCTGGTGGAGTCATTCAGGTCTCTTATGTATAGAATCATGCTACCTGCAACTAAGGATATTTTGACTTTTCTTTCCTAATTATATCCCTTTTATTTTCTTCATTTGTATTGCTATAGCTAAGATTTCTAACACTACAATGAATAAGAGTAGAGAGAGTAGACACCTGTGGTGGTTTGAATACGAATGGCCTCCTTAGGCCCATATATTTGAATTCTTGGCCCTCAGTGAGTGGAACTATTTGGGAAGGATATGAAGGTGTGGTCTTTGGGAAGGTGTATCACTAGGTGTGGACTTTGAGATTTCAAAAGACATCTTCTTAGTGTAGCTCTCTGCCTCCTGCTTGTGGATCAAGATCTGAGTTCTAAGATACTACCATCCCTACCTGCCTGCTCCCATGTTCTCCACCATGATGGTCATGAAATCTAACCCTCTGAAACCATACCACCAAATAAACTCTTTCTCCTATAAGTTCCCTTAGCCATTACATCTCGTCACGGCAATAGAAATGGTCTTGTTCCTCATTTTAATGAAAATGTTTTTTTTTAAACTTGGCTCTTATTATTTTAAAATTATGTTTATATATGTGATTCTGAATGTGGCTATGTCCATATCAGTGCTGGTGTCT